CGTGGACCAGGACAACACAGTACTGTGGACCAGGACAACACAGTACTGTGGAGCAAGACAACACAGTACTGTGGACCAGGACAACACAGTACTGTGGACCAGGACAACACAGTACTGTGGACCAGGACAACACAGTACTGTGGACCAGGACAACGCAGTACTGTGGACCAGGACAACACAGTACTGTGGAGCAAGACAACACAGTACTGTGGACCAGGACAACACAGTACTGTGGAGCAAGACAACACAGTACCGTGGACCAGGACAACACAGTACTGTGGACCAGGACAACACAGTACTGTGGAGCAAGACAACACAGTACTGTGGACCAGGACAACACAGTACTGTGGACCAGGACAACACAGTACTGTGGACCAGGACAACACAGTACTGTGGACCAGGACAACGCAGTACTGTGGACCAGGACAACACAGTACTGTGGACCAGGACAACACAGTACTGTGGAGCAAGACAACACAGTACTGTGGACCAGGACAACACAGTACTGTGGACCAGGACAACACAGTACTGTGGACCAGGACAACACAGTACTGTGGACCAGGACAACGCAGTACTGTGGACCAGGACAACACAGTACTGTGGAGCAAGACAACACAGTACTGTGGACCAGGACAACACAGTACTGTGGAGCAAGACAACACAGTACCGTGGACCAGGACAACACAGTACTGTGGACCAGGACAACACAGTACTGTGGAGCAAGACAACACAGTACTGTGGACCAGGACAACACAGTACTGTGGACCAGGACAACACAGTACTGTGGACCAGGACAACACAGTACTGTGGACCAGGACAACGCAGTACTGTGGACCAGGACAACACAGTACTGTGGAGCAAGACAACACAGTACTGTGGACCAGGACAACACAGTACTGTGGAGCAAGACAACACAGTACTGTGGACCAGGACAACACAGTACTGTGGAGCAAGACAACACAGTACTGTGGACCAAACACAGTACTGTGGAGCAAGACAACACAGTACTGTGGACCAAGACAACACAGTACTGTGGACCAAGACAACACAGTACTGTGGACCAAGACAACACAGTACTGTGGAGCAAGACAACACAGTACTGTGGACCAGGACAACACAGTACTGTGGAGCAAGACAACACAGTACTGTGGACCAAACACAGTACTGTGGAGCAAGACAACACAGTACTGTGGACCAAGACAACACAGTACTGTGGACCAAGACAACACAGTACTGTGGAGCAAGACAACACAGTACTGTGGACCAAGACAACACAGTACTGTGGACCAAGACAACACAGTACTGTGGACCAAGACAACACAGTACTGTGGAGCAAGACAACACAGTACTGTGGAGCAAGACAACACAGCCCGCCCAGACAGCGCCCCCCCCCCCCCCCCCCACACACACACACACACCAGAAATAGTTGGTGTACATGGGGGAGCGAGCCTTGGCAAGCAGAAGCCTGCATTTCCCAGTATTTATCACCAAACTCTCATTCTCCCATCTTTGTCTGACGTCAGTGTACTACTCACCTGGTTGTGCTCGCGGGGGTTGAGCTCTGGCTCTTTGGTCCCGCCTCTCAACTGTCAATCAACTGGTGTACAGGTTCCTGAGCCTACTGGGCTCTATCATATCTACACTTGAAGCTGTGTATGGAGTCAGCCTCCACCACATCACTGCCTAATGCATTCCATTTGTGTGTGTGTGTGTGTGTACTAACCTAATTTGTACTTACCTTTTTGTGTCTGCAGGACCGAACATTAGCTCTTGGATTCCGCCTTTGTATCCGGCGGTTGTCTAATGCAATGACTCCTGGCCTTTTGTGTGAGTGTGTTTTGGGGGGTTCCTACCTAACAGAGTTTGTAGAGTCGTGTTTCATCTCCTGGGACCTGACTTTCCATCTGTCGGTCGTCTAATGCAGGACTCCCGACTCCTTAATTACCAGACATACGTTCTATTAAAACTTTCTAATATAGATGGTGGACGAGTGATTCTATCATGGATAGAACAAGAGTTTGTGTTGCTTGTGACGAACAACACAAGACAAGCAACACAAGACAAGCAACACAAGACAAGCAACACCAAACAAGCAACACCCACAAATATATAGAAAGCCAATGTAACTATCAGTGACTTTCATCGTTGATGACTCGTCAATATTAGATCTTCTGAAGCCAGGTGTGTGGGAGAGATGAGGGCCAGGTGTGTGGGAGAGATGAGGCCAGGTGTGTGGGAGAGATGAGGCCAGGTGTGGGAGAGATGATGCCAGGTGTGTGGGAGAGATGAGGGCCAGGTGTGTGGGAGAGTTGAGGCCAGGTGTGTGGGGAGAGATGAGGGCCAGGTGTGTGGGAGAGATGATGCCAGGTGTGTGGGAGAGATGAGGGCCAGGTGTGTGGGAGAGTTGAGGCCAGGTGTGTGGGGAGAGATGAGGGCCAGGTGTGTGGGAGAGTTGAGGCCATATTCACCCCATACCCATCCTATGGGCGGTAGTGAATGTTTTTTAAAGGGCGCATAATGGGCTCAGGAACTGCACCTTAAAATTAATTTAGCTAAGCAAGTTACGGTCTTGATAAGCTAGTTACACAGTTTAATGAATTATTACACCAACAAACAATGGATTCGTGAGCCATTGTACCCCAGTGAACCACTCTCAAACAATTATAGTTCTTATAGTAACTGTTTAGCCGAACGATCCAACAGCCGTTGGTGGATCAAAAATAGTTCATGTTTTGTACTTTATTTTAAAGAGTGCGAGAAAAACGCCAAAAATATAGCTTAAACTTTCTTAGACCTAGTACATATGTGTACTATATTAGGCCTAAGACAGCGTGTGTTAGGCATAGGGTTGCTTGGGCAGGTTCTTTGGTTATATTTCAGATTTCCCAGAAGCCCATTTGGGGGATTTGAGTAAGACCAAGTGTGAACCTTCAGAGCCAACACGACGTATTGGCACGTTATCTTGAGGTTATCTTGAGTTGATTTCGGGGCTTTTTTAGTGTCCCCGCGGCCCGGTCCTCGACCAGGCCTCCACCCCCAGGAAGCAGCCCGTGACAGCTGACTGATTAGGTACCCAGGTACCTAATTTACTGCTAGATAACAGGGGCATAGGGCGAAAGAAACTCTGCCCATTGTTTCTCGCCGGGGCCTGGGATCGAACCCAGGACCACAGGATCATAAGTCCCGCGTGCTGTCCGCTCGGCCGACCGGCTCCCCGCGAGACCGCTAGACCACATGCTTGCACTCAGTACTCTCAGTTGAGGAAGACTGGCGGCACTCACCATGCCAACAGGAGAACAAAAGGACTTGAGGCGAGCGGCGCCAAAGAGATAGGATTCACCAAAGGATTCAAGTGAAGGATGAGCTGACCCGAGCGACATTTAGAAAGCAAGACGGACGATCAGTCTAGAAATGAGGCCATTGGACAAGGAGGTGGACGACTGTATGTGGGACAGTGACGTTTGGGCAATAAGGAGCAGGGCGTCGTTACATTAAGTGGCCGTGAAATAAGCCCGTGTATGCTAATAGCAGTCGCTTCTATAATCTCTTATCTTAACTCATTCTAATTGGTTACGACTCTTACACTGGCACGTCTTCCAGCTCATTAATTTGTCTTGTTGTGTGTCGCTTGTCTCCTCTCTCTCATCTTCCACACACCCTATTTATCACCTTTTATTACTTGTTAGTTATCATATCCTCCACTCTTATTTACCCCCTTGTGCAGTGTGTGGGTAGGTTACCACAGCTGCTCCCTACACGTCAAGGGTACTCATACTGGGGTACACGTACCAGGGGTACCCATACTAGGGTACACGTACCCGGGGTGCTCTCTCTAGTGTTCATACGTCACAAGGGTTACTGCATGTCTTGACTTCTTGGTGTTTCTTGCCATTCTTACCGACTCATTCCTTGTTTACACTTGTTATTCTCACTCGCTGAGTTCTGTCACTCTGTGCTCCACGTCCTCTTGCTCCTCTGCCTCAAAATGTAAACTGCTAGTGTACACTGTTCTGTAAACCCAGTTTACCTTTACACAATGAAACCACAATCATGTGACATATGTGGAGCAGGGCGGTGGGACAGTTCCCGGGGGGAGGGGGGGGGGGTGGACCCGACACTCCACCCCGTGTAACTTGTGTGTGCATATCGTGGTCCATGGGTTAAGGCGGGCGTCTGGGGGGGGGGTGACCGAGGGTTCGATCCCATCGCCCTGATCCAAAGATTTGTCCTCAGAGTTGCCTGTACAAGAAGCATCACTTCAGGTGTGGGTATTGGCGTCGTGCTTGCCACTGTTGTCTCCGGGAAGTGCCTGGTGTTGAGGTGATGGGGTAGTGGTTATGGTACCCCGCCCTCCCCCCCCCCCCCGCCACTCCTGCCAGTAATGTCCCCCATCAGTAATGCAAGGACTAGTTGCACACCATCACGTCTCTCCAAACTCATCTCACATTCACCATTCACTATTTTTGTGACTCACGATGAGTGAGTATCAGGCCTGGTATACATGGGGCCAGGATTCGTCTAGTATTTACACAACCAGTTAAAAAACGTATACATCTTTCCTCAATCACGGTGACTTACATATACTGTATTAAACAGTTAACGAGCACCACAGCAATACGAGGTTGTTTACAACATGACAATAATAACCTGGCAAGTGGAGTTTCCAAGCTCGTAAACTGTTTAATAAATGTCAACAACAGGACAGATGTGTAGACGGAGGGAGAGGATAAGTGAGCCCCGCACAGATCACAGGAGACAGCGGCTGACATTGTAACTATAAGGTGTGAAGGATAGATGAAATTGTTTATGTAATAATCTAAGATGAGGTCTGATAAAGACCTTTTGTGCCCTCTGTAATGCTTTTGCGCTACCGCTCACACGATGAGTATGGGGTGCACAATAAACTAGCCGCCTTCGGCGGCAACAATCAAGCGGCGCCGGAAACACAATCACAAGTCATGATAAAGTATGAAGGAACATATAGTGAAGTTAACATTACCTTCCTCGGCCCTTGGCAGTCTTGTCGTTGGTGTCGTGTGCTGGCCTGCCGGGCCCCTGGGGCTCCGCCGCCCGCCGCCCGCCACCGCCGCCGCCCTCCACCGCCGCCACACCCAACCTGCCCAACACAACATTGAAATCATTCAAAATCACTACTATATACCACTAAGAAAATAAGTTGGAGTAATGCAGGGATTTGAACCAGCCGATACACTGAGTAGCTTGCAGACGATGAGTCACAATAACGTGGCTAAAGTATGATGACCAGACCATACACTAAAAGGTGAAGGGACGACGACGTTTCGGTCCGTCCTGGACCATTCTCAATCGACTTGAGAATGGTCCAGGACGGACCGAAACGTCGTCGTCCCTTCACCTTCTAGTGAATGGTCTGATCATCATACTGAGTAGCTTGTTGTCCTGTGGCGCCCTAGTGGCTTAGGGCAAGCGTCTGGCTAGAACGCTCCTTCAAATCCTCACAATGTTCTAACTGATTTTCTCATTTATGAAACTTATATCATCAACCCACGATATGGTTCAGGTGTAGAAATTAAATAAAAAATGTATATTCACAATATACGTCAGACCCAATTAGGACTGTGCATCCGTTGGGTAGGAGTTATCTAATCTATCAAAGGATTAAAATACAACAAATTCGTTATAGGATATAAAATAGATGCTCACCTCCCTAAGCCTAAAATTTATTACATTATGTCCTAACTTTTAAAAAGGGTTTCTTGGAACTGTGGGCTTTCTTCTCGACTCATAGTAGGGGATAATGGGTTCGATTCCCAGGCGGGACGGAAACGATTGAGCATGTTTCCTTCCACCTAATGCCGCTATTCACCTAGCAGTAAATAGGTACCTGGGAGTTAGGTAACTGTTGTAGGGGGGAGGGTTGCCTCCTGGTGAGGGTCACCAGTTGAACCTGAGGCACCTCGATACAAGCCTAAAGTATACATACACAGTATATATATACATACACACACACACACATATATATATATATATATATATATATATATATATATATATATATATATATATATATATATATATATATATATATATATATATATATATACACACACACTATATATATATATATATATATACACACACACACACACACACACACACCTCGTGACCCAACATGGCGGCGTGGGTGGTAGTTGGTCACTCTAGAGTACCAGCAATATTCGTCCCCAGGGTGACGAATATTGAAGGCTTCTGTCCTATTTACTATTATAATAAGAGTATATAATAATAATAATAATAATAATAATAATAATAATAATAATAATAATAATAATAATAATAATAAAAATATAAATATTATTATTGTAATAATAACTATAATGATAATTGTTGTAATTACTAATTATTACTCTTCCTTCTGCTTGGTCTTGAAGGAAGCGGGCCTCGGGTGAAAGAGGGCTGTGACGATCTCTGTCTGGAACCCGTGGGTGCGGGACAGGGTCGTCCACCTCCTGGGGCTCGTGTGGTCCATGTTCTGCTTCAGGAGGCACAACTACTGACCCTCCCCAGGATGCAACCCCACAAGTTACCTGACTCCCAGGTACCTATTTACTGCAGGGTGAACAGAGGCATTACCAACCATTTGTCTCCCGCCGGGAAATCAAACCTCTTATCCCAAATTATAAGTCGATAACAAAGCGAATTGCACTACAAGATCCTATTATTACCACACCCTATTTATAATGGACACCAATTATGTAGTAAGTTATTTTGTAATTGATTAATTAAAAATTTGTGATTTTGTGAATATTTTGGCGTGTGCATGGTACAAGTGAGAGGCCCGTCCTGGGGAATGGTCAAGAGGCGTGGCGACTGGGCGCTCCTGTCAGCCAGACTTCACACAACAATATCTAATGAATGCCACAGGTCTGACCAACAAGTCTAGCCACAACATTAATTCCCACTACATTAGTTTACAGACAAGTGGGCACTGTAGCGTGTAGCATTATGTTGAGGTGGCCTGGTGGGTTTGCGGTGGTTAGGAGGCTTGCTTAGTTAAAGGTTATATTTCGCTGGGGTATAGTGCAGGCGAGAGAGGAGAGGGGAGAATAGCGGACGGCCGCACGCAACACACATCTCTTCCCTGCACCGTGGGAAATGACCACATTAATATCCCGCCGCCTCTGACCCAACATGACAATTAAAACCACAGCCAAGTGTGGAGCTGGAGCATAAAATAATACCTCAAGCGAGATTGATGGCGCGTGCTGAGAGCGCTCCCCATCGCCAACCATATACGCTCATAGCTCCCTACATCTGCTGTCCGCCTCTCTTCTCACTCTCCTCTCCTCGTATATATGCCATACATAATTTTAGGCAACTTCGGTCTCCTTCACGGGAGACATCTCCCGTCACGCAGGGTGCAGTCGCACCTCCACAGATCTCCAATATCAGCTCTTGATACTGGTAATGGCTCAAAAGGGCCACCACTTACGGGCTATTCATGCCCGTGCCACCTTTTGGGTGGCTTAATCTTCATCAATCAATCAGTCACTAGGCAACTTGTAACAGCCGGGCATCTCCCCCTCGACCGGCTGACTGTGGCCAGCCCGCCGACAGCCCTGCTGACTCCTGGGACACAACTGTGAGCAACGGGTGCACCCATCCATTACCCGCTCTGACCAGCACTATGGTCTTGGATTGGCGCGTCCACGGACCTCATCCCTAGACCTCCAGTATCAGCTATTGATACTGATAATGGCGCCAAAGAGTCTCCACTTACGGGCTCACCATAGCCTGTGCTACATGGAACTTTTGTTCCAGTAGCTGTATCTAAAACAACATTTAGACTTAAAACATTACATTTTTTTGAGAGATTACCAACGAAATTTATAAAGTTTAAAAATTTTATATGAGAGAGAGAGAGAGAGAGAGAGAGAGAGAGAGAGAGAGAGAGAGAGAGAGAGAGAGAGAGAGAGAGAGAGAGAGAGAGAGAGAGAGAGAGAGAGAGAGAGAGAGAGAGAGAGAGAGAGAAGGGGAGGGGGGATGGGGGGAAGGAGCGCAGACCCGTTAACCATTAGTTAACAAGCTAACCATTGTTGTTGTTGTTGTTGTTTAAGATTCAGCTACTGGGAACAAAAAGTTGCAAGTAGCACGGGCTATGGTGAGCCCGTAGAGAACTTACCTGGCACGGGAGCGGGGCTGTAACATGAAGGTAACCCTGGGAACAAGGGTTACCAACAAGAGGTAGTGAACAGTCGGCCGCACTTTCACAAGATTCGTTCCTGAAATTTTTCCTCCTAAGAGTAGCCACAGCTAAAGTGGGAAGACTGGGTACTTGGCCAGCGGCTGGGGCCCGTGGCACTCTCCTCTGTTGCACACCTGTCTTGTTGACCCCCCTACCTCACACCTGTCTTGTTGACCCCTACCTCACACCTGTCTTGTTGACCCCTACCTCACACCTGTCTTGTTGACCCCTACCTCACACCTGTCTTGTAGACCCCTACCTCACACCTGTCTTGTTGACCCCTACCTCACACCTGTCTTGTTGACCCCTACCTCACACCTGTCTTGTAGACCCCTACCTCACACCTGTCTTGTTGACCCCTACCTCACACCTGTCTTGTTGACCCCTACCTCACACCTGTCTTGTAGACCCCTACCTCACACCTGTCTTGTTGACCCCTACCTCACACCTGTCTTGTTGACCCCTACCTCACACCTGTCTTGTTGACCCCTACCTCACACCTGTCTTGTTGACCCCTACCTCACACCTGTCTTGTTGACCCCTACCTCACACCTGTCTTGTTGACCCCTACCTCACACCTGTCTTGTTGACCCCTACCTCACACCTGTCTTGTTGACCCCTACCTCACACCTGTCTTGTAGACCCCTACCTCACACCTGTCTTGTTGACCCCTACCTCACACCTGTCTTGTTGACCCCTACCTCACACCTGTCTTGTTGACCCCTACCTCACACCTGTCTTGTTGACCCCTACCTCACACCTGTCTTGTTGACCCCTACCTCACACCTGTCTTGTTGACCCCTACCTCACACCTGTCTTGTTGACCCCTACCTGACACCTGTCTTGTTGACCCCTACCTCACACCTGTCTTGTTGACCACGCCACGGCCTCACATGTCCAAGAGGTTGCTGTTGTACACATACCAGAGGTGTACACCAAGGAGTAGCAGTGTAAGGACTGAGAGAGTGGTGTGGGAGTGTGTGGTGTGGGTGTGTGGTGGTGTGGTGTGTGTGGGGGTGTGGGGTGTGTGGGGGTGTGCGGTGTGTGGGGTGTGTGGGGGGGTGTGTGGGTGTGTGTGTGTGTGTGTGTGTGTGTGTGTGTGTGTGTGGTGTGTGTGTGTGTGTGTGTGTGTGTGTGTGTGTGTGTGTGTGTGTGTGGTGTGTGTGTGTGGGTGTGTGGTGGTGTGGTGTGTGTGGGGGTGTGGTGTGTGTGGGGGTGTGGTGTGTGTGGTCTGTGTGTGTGGTGTGTGTGTGTGTGTGTGTGTGTGTGTGTGTGTGTGTGTGTGTGTGTGTGTGTGTGTGTGTGTGTGTGTGTGTGTGTGTGTGTGTGTGTGTGAGTGTGTGTGTGTGGGGGTGGGTGTGGGGTGAGGGGCAGCCACCGCCCACAACCCATAACATGGTGGTGGGCGGAAAAGTCTATTATTTACAGCAAGCAGTACAAAGAGACTGAGGGCTACATCTGTTTGGCTCAGCCACTGCGGGTATTTTGGTTTTCCCGTCCGGAAAAAGACCCGGATTTATCATCCACTTACGAAGCCTGTACATCTTTCCCCAATCATGGGGGCTTTGTTTACATTTAATAAATAGTTTATGAGCTGCGAGACACTACGGAGTTACAACAATAATCTTGGGTTGTGAAGTTTCAAAGCCGCCATGATTAAAGAAAGATGTACAGGCTTCGTTAGTTTTTGCTGAGCTGTGTTGTATTGTACAGTACATTGTTTTTTCCTTCACCGCTGGGTAAACAGGGGCGAACACTTACGGGCTGGCGTCCAGTAAGTCCTCCCTGGCCAGGACTCGAACCCAGACCACATCATTTGTAGAGCGAGTGTGTTACTGTATTGTGAACTACTGCCGCTTATATACTCCACCCTAGATTATTTGTGTGTCTTC